CTCCTGAGATTCTGTGATTCTGTGACTCAGTTTCCATATTTTGTGAAAGTTCAGCATATCTGAGCAGACCACTGATTACAAATTTATGTGGTTTTGCAATAATTGCATTTTGTATGCATTTTAAAAAAACCAAACCAGCCCGCTTTAATTTCTACTTAAGCACTGGATGGAGACTTTTTGGAATATTTTCTTATGTGAAGGAGAATAAGTCAGCCAGAAAAATCTGGATGTATTCACTAATTCTTTGCCTTTTTCAGATTTTAATCTATACTGTTTTAGTTTAGTCCCAGCAAAACTGTTCTGGTAAATCCGTTGTGTGGTACTATCCAGCAACGAGAGGCAACTCAGATAAAATAACTCTAAATCAATCCTTGCAATCATCTTCAGGTATTTAGTCATTGCACCGATAGAGTATATTATGCCCTTTCATCTAATTGTCAAATATTATAGCGTTCTTCACAGTCTTTATCTGTAGTATACAGACCTCTGTGCTGTAGCGCAGAAAGAGATAATTACTTACAATGTAGGGAGACTTGCTCTAGAAAGCCAAGAAATAATTTTACTGTATGGAAATTAGAAACAGTCCCAGACATCAGGAATGTCACTAAGCAGGAGAACTAGATTTTGAAAAGATCTTTTGGAGAAGATTAACTTTAGGATGGGAAGTTGAAGTCTTCATCAGTTGTCAGATATAATCTGAGAACAAAAGTGTAAAGTAGGGAAGAGTAGGATTTCAAATAGAGCAAGATCAAAAAAGTGTTATTTCTCTTGGAATATCAGTATCAAACTTATGTGGAAGGTTAAGGATTATGCTGAAGAGAGAATTGGTAGAAGCAGGTAAATGACGTATTTTAGCGCTTTCAGTGTTTATTATTAGCCTTCTGTAGCCTTTTTTACTTCTTTTTTCTCTTCCAAATTAGTAAATGGGAACTTAGTAATCTGTTTTTCATTACTGAATTACTGACATGTTTTTTTGGTTTTAAGTGCTTAACGGCCCTTAAGCTTAGGGCGTCTTGGCCAGTAGTCAGTACAATGCCTAGGTGAGTTATTTGTTGTTCCCAGAAAAGCTCATTTTTTTGGTAACTTTGCGTGATTGGGTTGTTATTTATGTTCAGGGTGTTGGGAAGCTGACTTTTTTTTCTGTTCACGTATGTTTTATATGCTTTCTATGAAAACACAGTGTTTAATTAGCATGCTAACAAATCTGTTTGCATGGTAGCGTTAGTCACGGGCTCTCTTCTAACTTGGCAGGTTGGAGAGACAGAGGGCATTGATGTCTGAAGGGAAGGGGACAGGCTATCTTGATGTTCGTTTCATTAAGACGAAATCAGAGGAGGGTGCAAAAAGAGATGCCCATTTCCCATTTAATATGAAAATATTTTCAGCATTATCAATTGGACTTATTACATGACTCCCTACGAATTTTGTTCTGTATAGTTTCTTTGACTGTAAGTGATAGCAATAGCTTTCACTATGCCTTAACTTTCTCATAATAATACTGTATTTATCTCAAATCAATGGAAAAGCAACTATGGACGGTGTAATTGCAAGCAGTAATAGGAACGCCAGCTGTCTCGGAAGTAACTTCTATCTGTCTTCTGAAAAATGTGCTTTTGTGGTTTTTGGCAGAGGGGGCAAGGTGGGCTTCTTTTTGGAAGAAAGCAGTTTGGTTTCTGTGATCCACAGTCAGCGTGCTCTTTCTTAAAATTCTGGTGCCCCAAGAATCCTGTGTGCTCTTAGATCTTTAGCAAGAAAAGTGTTTGGTGAACACAGACCAGAGCACAGCAATAAGATTCAGAAAAGCAGGAAGATTTTGTCAGTACTGAACTTAACACTGAGTCCTCATATTTCCACTGACATCTCTGCCTTTCATGAGATCCCAAACTCTTTGCAAAATTTGATGTTTAATTTTCACAGCTTTCATTCAAAAAATGAAGTTTCTAAACTTTATTGTATTCTTTTGTCCTCTTTCCTTAAGGGAAGGAAAGTGTTAAATTTTTATTTCTGAACTATTTTCCTTGACTCCCTTGGTGTTCACATCACTAATCCAGAGGCATTTGAGCATGGGAGATGTCTGTGCTATCTTGTACTCTTGCATGGCCCATCATCTGTCAGGAGCTGGAGATTTATGTTTGGGATTTGTGCCATTATCGTACTGGTAAAGGTTTGGAAGAGCATTCTCTTCGGTGTGGCACTTCAGCCCTAGAAGAGTAAGCGTTTCTAAGAGCTCAGTCAGATGAATTAGTTTGATAGCGATTTTGTTGCTCATGCACACACGCATGGATCATACATGTAAACTTATGCACAGAGCATTAATATGTCTGCTGATAATTGATGTGTATCGTACAATTTTAAGCCATCTTTTGAGGCAGCATAAATCATACAGGCTTCATTTTAAATATTACTGTTTAAATACAAAATGTAAATTTGCCACTTGAGAACTAATGTTAGAAGTCACAATAGCAACATTTTTGTACTGATGGTATTGTTGCACTGATTCTTAAGTGGTGTCACTAACGTCTTAAACTGACTGAGATTACGTTCATGCATATAAATTTTGAAAGCTGAGTATAGTAATTGATTTATATATTACTACCTAAGTAGACAGTTTATTATTTATTTGCAGATCTGCAGTATGCTAAGAATTAATTTTCTGCCTGCTAGTCACTAATTTTAAGAGTTCCAAGCATGTGTTAGTCTGAGGTTTGGGTTTTTTTTCTTTACTACATTGCTATATTTAATATTTAAAAAATATTTTTACTTTTATCTTTTCTCTTGGTCCTGATTTTTTTTTCCTAAATATTATCTACTCCAAGCAAGAATTTTATGCAGAATTTGAAAATCAGATGTTAGTAAACTCTGTGATGACAGCACCACTGTTATTTTTTTGGTGGTAAAAAATTTGTCAAACAAACAAAAATATAAATATATTTTAGTAAGATGAATACCAGTTTTTTGAAGGAAAACATGTTACCAAATTTAACAAAATAATAACTTGTTTCGTTTTGGTTTGCTTTTAATTTCTTGTCAATCAGAATAGATTTTTTTATCAGTTTCAGTAACCAGAACCAGCTCTATTCACTGTGGAGCAGTAGGAATAAATTTTCTGTAATAAAAGCTTCTTTAAAATTCATGCAACCTATTCCAATTTTAAAATCATACATGAAATTGTCTAATTATGCTATTATAATTAAAATGCTAACAAGAATCAGTAGCTGCCCAGCTAAAAATCTAATTTGAATGCCTAGAATAATAAGGGGAGAAATATGATAAGTAGTTGTCAATATTAAAGCAGGCTGAAGGAGGAAGGCTTCAGGCCTTGTAGTAGGTAGAATGAAACAGCAGATTTGAGTATCCACGATCCTTTCAGTATTAAATTTTCAGTAAAATAAAATTACTTGTATATGAAAACATAGCCTTTCCCCAGCTCTCTTTTTTTTCCTGATCAGCTGATGAAGAGACTAGCAGCTCGCTGCTTTGCTGGCTTGTTAATTTTATCCCCACTAACTGTGATTTCCGATAGCCGGCCTGCTGATAGTGGTAAGGTAAATATCCTTTTTCATTGCCGTCTTGAAGATTCAGTAGAACTACTTCTACTTCACAGGCATGTGTAGGTGTGTAACACATCAAAAGTCGGTGTTCTCCATTATTTCAGTGTACAACTGAGTGCTTAAGGAGAGCAATGACATTAACTGTTGACAGCCTTGCATGCTGTATTTATTATTAGCTTTTCTAGCTTCCAAGATATGCAGAGAAATTTCCTTTTCTTAATCTTCATTAGCTGCAGTGGTTTATAGTGGGTGTCCTGCTTTAGCCAAATGAATATTAATGAATTTGTGTGCAGATTAATATTTTTCTCTCCGTTTTTCTTTCTAACTCATCAGATCTCAAGCCTCCTTCATAGTGGTTATCTGGACGCTGTGGAAGCATGATGTAAATTGTCTTTTGATTATTAAGGCCTAGTTTCAGGCTGTCCTTCAGGATTCTGCATTTGTGTTTGTTCTGTGGATTTGCACATCGGAGGATGCATAGGAAACAGATTTTGAAATCTCACTGGTGTTTTTAACATGCCAGGTTGTTTTGTGTTGTGCATCAGGTTTTGTTCGCAAAACGTTTTTCAAGAGATGTTGTACACAATTGAGAAAAACTATGTCTGGGCTGTAATCACTCGTTTTATATTGATTGTTATGCTCACATGATCATAAATATTAGCCATGTTTTGTGCTGAGGAGAAATGAAGGTAATTGCCTTATGATTAGAGCTCTTTCAGCTGCGAGAAAGAATTGATTAGCATTTGCATGTACTCAAGGCAATATTGAGAGGCAAAAGGGACAAATATCAACATCAATTATGTTCTGAGAAAGCATTAATCAGAAAAGCCTTAGTTTTAAGATTCTTTAAAGAGTATAATTTTATTTTTAATTTCAGTTTTCTCATGACCTGGTATTTTTGTTTCTTTTCTTTTGTTGTCTTTCCCAAAGCAAGAAAAGTTCAGCTTCTTGCTTTATCACATGCTTCTGATAGTCAGTGTGTGAACAGGTTCCTTTTATTCCTAGATTAGGGATTTTTTAGTGATTTTTTTTTGTCACTCTGACTAGTGCTTCTGGGTCTGGTTATAAGCGAACATCCAGGTAATTGGAACTAGTGTACATTGTTTGTGGTTGTGCGTGGGGGCTGTTTTTTTGTTGGTTTTACTTTTGTATCCAATGTTATGAGTGCTTTTTATGATAAAACACTGTACTGTCGCTGCTTCTGCTTATGTGTTGGTTACTATTCAAGAAGAAAGGTACACATTTTAGAGATGATTTTAAAGCTTAGACAATTTGGAAGTTGCTTAAACTATTTGAAAGAGAAGTTGAGTCGTTACTGGATAAAGTATGTGTGTGTTGTTTGTGTGCACAAAGAACTCTCTGTGATCTGGCTTTGGGAGTTGAGCACAGTTTAGACTATCCTGTTTGAAAACATGCAATATCAAAGTCTATTTTGCATGGATGTACATAAGCCAGAACTGCCACTGACGTTAACAAATGAAAGTTTGTTGTACACTTACTGACACAGTGCCACAGGCCATCACTGTGTGTGAAACTGGGAGTTGGTGTGGAATTCAAGATTCAGATAAACACGCATCCATTGAGATGATAGTGGAATTCTTAGAACAAATTAATGTTTAGTCTCTTTGATTGCCAGTAACTCAGTTTCTTCTTGTACTCTTGTTTATAAATAAGCTGAACATTTTGAGTTTCATTATCTGCATCCTGTGAGGTTGTGGATTTGTTTTTAAATACAGTTTGTTATTTTCCTTCGCAATGTCTAATGTGTGTAAAAATTGTATTTTTCAAATTCACGGTTGTCAGGCAATTGAAGACGGCAATTTAGAAGAAATGGAAGAGGAGGTCCGGCTTAAAAAACGCAAGAGACGAAGAAATGTGGATAAAGATTCTGGGAAGGAGGATGGAGAGAAAGCAAAGAAAAGAAGAGGCAGACCTCCTGCAGAGAAGTTGTCACCCAACCCACCTAAACTGACGAAACAAATGAATGCTATCATTGATACTGTGATAAACTACAAGGATAGGTGAGTTTGGACGTGCTCTCTCTCTGTTGCATGTGCCCTCTCTCTCTCTGTTGATACCTCTCTGTGTTTTTTAAGGGTTTCACCTTTGTTTTTAGTCTTTAGAAGGATTTGCTAACACAGCATTTCCAAAAAGTAATAGGGCCTGATCCTCTAAGTCTCACTCTTTGTAGAGGGATTTTAGAGACCTACCTGATAGGAAAGTGTTGAAACACAAATATGAAATGTATGCATAGAGCTCCTGCTTAGAAATGAAGTCATTCTGCTCAGGAGATGTACTTAAGGACATTTAGCTTGAGCAGGATTTTCCTTCAGTTTGGTGGTTCAGCGTGTGTTAAGATTAATCTTTTCAATTACATGGCTACGGTTTTATTAATGCAGGTCTCACCATGACCTGAAAGACTACCCAAAAAATGTGGGGCTTGTATCATGAGCCTCTGAGCTGCCAGAGGAAAACCTGTAGAAATACTGAGCATAATATATTGTCTGCAGCTGAGATGGAAGCCTGTTTGTCAAGAAATCCCTATTTTCAGCATAACAAAATGCTAAATAGCTGGATCTTAGCTAAAAATACTGCTTCTAATCTGACATGTCATTTGAAGACTTCTGTGTAGCAGGTTTTCAAACTGAAAATCATCTATGCCTCATGAGAAATAAATTGAGAATTAGTTAATAGCATCTTTGAATTGGACTCAAAATTTGTATTTTTTAGCTCAACTTCTATTTGCCAAAAATCAGTACGGTCTACTTGTGTATTATCCCTTCTTTGCTGTACACTGAATTACTTAAATCATATGAGGAACAATTAAAACCTAAATGAAATTAAATGCGTTCAGAGAAAATCAAGACTTATTTGCATTAGGCAACCTGTGTAAGTGCAACAATTTAATTTTTGCATGCAAATAATTTTCAGTCTGTGATTTCAACTGGCAAGTTGCACTTCTTCCTTTTTTGCACTTACTGTTCTGGGTCTGCCTGTGCAAGGTTAACTTGGGCAGTGTCTGGTGAAGTACACAGACAGTAACTGTTGAAATTAAGCATTCTGAGGTCTGTGGGCTCTCTGTAGAGCACATTCAAAAAATTCATTGCATCGGAACAGGATTCACAGCAATGAACATGAGGAGCGTGAAGCTAACTACGACCTCTGTGTATTCAGCTTGCTGTGACTCTCAACTAACAGAGTAGCTGAGAAGAGAGAAGTGTTTAAAGTTCAGGTATTGCAGTCAGGACTGCAAGGAGGCTTTCATTTTGGATCTTTGACCTTGAGCCTTCTCCTCTAGCCAAGCGCTTCTGATCAGGGTGCCTACTTCTCATTTATAAAATAGCAACCAAATTTGCATCCACTAGCTGCTAGTAGGGGATAGCTACTGATAGTAACTGATAATTACTGGGAAAGTGAAAGTTTTTTTGCCTGTTGTTTGTGCCCCAGGATTTTCATGTCTGATCTTTGATCAAGCAAGCTAACCACTATGCTATTATGTAGTGACAGGGCATACTATTCCTTCTCCCTGGAGCCTACATTTGTGCAAGACAGGATTGGTTCCACTTTAAAAAGTGTATGGAGCTCTGTCCTGCTAGGAATTAAAAATGCCTCTGTTAAACTGAACTCTTTAGTACGATAATCTGTGCAGAGGAGTTGGAAGTTCGTGTATTCTGATTTTTTGGGAGGTAGCATTAAACCACCCAATCCTGTGAAAGCTGGGAGAGAACACAATTGCAAATTTAGGCATCAGGAAACTTTAATAGCTAAAAATCTTTGGGTTTAAGGTTGTTCTAGAGTTCCGTGAACATTTTCAGCATTTGCAGCTTTAGAGTTGAGTTTTAGCCACTGGAACCCTACAGCTTTGTTGGGGACTCATGTTTGTTCAGCTCTGGGCGTTTGTGTGTGTGAAGGCAATTGGGGCAAGTATAGAGGGACAGGTTAATTAGAGAAAAAGGAGAAAATTAGTTTCATCTGGGGGAAAAAAAAAGGTTTTACATGTATTTAGTATCTGAATGCTTGAAGTCATCTTTGTCTTTAGCTTAAATTTTCAGTGCTAAAGTTTCATCTCTATTTTATGAAAGTCCAGAAGGCTGATCCAGAGAGCTGATTGTGTCCCAAAAAGTAGTCAGGTGATACCTCTCCAAAATCTTACAGACTTTGGCCTGAGTTGTCAAAAAAGTCTACAATCTTTAGTAAATTTTGTTGTAGATTATAAGCCAGCAGGCAAAAAAAAATCAAAACAATGCATTGCTAAACTAATAAATATCTGTATGCTTCATCTCGTGTTTCCCCTTGCTTTTGAGAAGAGCTCCTTGTAAATAGAGAACCACCTCTCTGTTGTTAAAATCTTTCTTCTTAAAAAAAAAAAAAAAATCCATGGTGCCCACAGAAATCTGGAGTACCGGTTGACTGCTTTTGGGTAGTGATTCTGTGTAATGTTGATGCAGGGAAGGAGTCTCCAAATGCTTTCCTGACTTGCATTTGACTTCTCTTGTAGGCAGCAGGGGACAAGTACAATCCTTTCCTTGCTTTTTTAAAAAGCATCCAACAAAATAGGCTGGATTGCCTATGTCTAGGAAAGGTAGAGGCTACAATAATACTAGCAATAAGCTGTAGTAAACAGAGGTTTGAGCTACACAATTATATTAACATAAAATAAGATTAAACAGACGAATTAGCAACATTTGAGATGAATGTTCAGTGTAGAGAAATGCAGCATATGATTGAAAAAAAAAATAATTCATGAGTAGGTATCCAGCTACTTGCAAACCCCAAAGAACTCTGTGCAAGACAGTGGGAGTTATCACTGAGATCAAATTACTGTTTATCATGTTCTCAGTGCAAATTCAAGCTTTTTCTTTAGATTTTCCTCTTTTATGCCATATATAGCAACATATTTCACATAACATATTTCCCAGGAAAATTACTAGCTAATATGAAAGAAAGAGGAAATCTAATGAGTGAGCTCTCTAATCTGAGGGAAAACAAGGAAAAAGATGTAACTGAAGGTACTATTAAAAAAGGAACTATTAAACTGGAAAGAAGTTGCCACAGAAGTTCTTGAAGAATGGATTTTGGCATGCACCACACTATATTAATGATACATATTTTAAAAAGAAGACTGTCCTAGCCAAAATGTGAAGTTTTAAAATACAAGTATTGGGATCGTATTCATGGAGGGCTTAACACAGTGAAGTCCGGAATAAATGTACTGGCTTGGAATACAGTATCTCAGAGTGCATTGTAAGGTACTCACAGACTAAAAATGGGAAACTTTTGTTTGAGTTGGAAACTCATCATGTGGAGCTGACAGGTGATGAATGTCCTGGGCAAAAGAACTATTGATAAAAGCCTACTATGAGCCATCACTGTTGTCCAGCCATAAGAAAACAGGAGCCTGGCCCTAACACTATTGTCTGTATAGATGAGGAGATACCAATGTATGAGTATTTATTTCATTATATGTGACACCATTAATGTTTCTGATGTTTCTGTATATAGTACTTGAACACTTTTCAAGAAAGATTAGTTTACACTGAGATAAATGTAAATTATTATTTCAATCGTAAGTAGCATGGGGGAGAGCCTTGCAAGAGGAAACAGGTTGGTTTGTTTATCTAAACAAAGCACAATCTGAGAGGGGAAGATTATTCCTCTCACCAAGTTCACCTGGGAAAGAAGAGCAGCATAAACACAGGGAGAGTGTAGAAATACGTAAAATACAGGATGGTGATCACAAGATTATGTGAGTTATATGAGTACATCGTAGTTGTTGAGTCCCAGTTGCTGATTTTGCATCATGAACATGCAGGCTTAGTCCTCAAACTCTCTTTTTTCTCTTTTGAAGGTTTTCCTTTATTTTTTATTTCAGAGGAAGACAAGCTGTAAGTGTAGTTTCCCTTTCCTGATCGTTAAAATTAAATGGAGAAAAAGAATGCTACTTCATACCTTGTAATCCTTCAGCTTCCCTATAAATCCACTGTCCTCTTCTGCCTTGCATCAGAATTTGATGTTTCCTTTTTAGGTGCCAGGTCGATGCTACTGCTAGTTTGCATTAGCTTTGTTTAGATTGCACAGCTGACTTCAAGAGTCCCAGGATACTAATAGCTCTATTACACACTGTGATTTTATTTTTCATCCACCTGCTCTCTGTTCCACTTGTGAGAGTTAAAGTCAGGACTAGCACAGTGCACTGATTAACTTCACAAAGCCTCCTCCCCATAGCTGGTGGCTGCTGGCCACATTTTAATAAAACTTATCAGAAAAGTGGAGAGTGCGGTTGTTGTGCGCTGTGTTCATGTTTCCTGCTTGGTAAGAGACTTCCCTGTCTGTGCTGCTTAGCAATTTGATCACTGCATCATTAAAGCCAAACTGTTTAAATTTGTGCCTATAGTATTCTAATTTTCACGGGACATAGCTCAGGAAGAGAGTCTTTGTCTGTGAAATGGGTTTTATTCAGACTATTTCCAGTTGTTTTCTCAAGTTGCCAGTTCTTAACTGTTGTAAAATGGTGAGTAATTAGCCATTACTAATTTAACTAGTAATTAATTTTGTCAACTGGTACTCTTGAGTATTCAAACATGCAAAGCAAATAATTCTTATTTATAGCCAAGCCAAAGTTATGGAGTACATAACCATATGTCAAAACCAGGAATTCTATTTTTAAGTATTTTTACTGACTTCCACTCCAATGATGAGCACAGGTCCACCATGTATTACTGCAGTCAGTTCCAACAAGGAGGAATCATTAAATACATTTAACAAAAATGAATCATATCCCTACATAGCTGGTTTACTGTTGGAGTGTTAAATACAGAGGAAGCACCTCACTATTTAAGTTCTTTTAATTCTCCTCCTACACACACACACACATGTTTTTTAAAAAAAACATCCTCATGAGTAGCATTTGATTAGGAGTTGCAGTTTGCACACTGTGGTTCTGATTGTGAGCACTTAGACTAGTGCAAGTGTGCAGGACTCTTCATTCTACCAACTCTAAATTGAATTTCACTGTTTGTTAAAAGTGTGAAATTTGTGACAAGTATGAGAATGTCTTGCAGATTCAGCTTTATAGTTGTCTCTCCTTTTGATTCTGAAAGAGAAAGGTTGTTGATAATAGTAATACTTTTGACATGTCAGTGGTGGCTTACTTCTGGCTGTATACTGCTGGGGAAAACAGATAAAAAAGGAGCCTCGTACAAATGCAACCTAATTGTGCCTGCATTTAATTTCACTGATGGTAGTGCTGACTAGATGGGTGAAAATATGTGCTTGTCTGCACCTTCTAAGCAGTTTGACAAAAATGGAAGAAAACTAGAAACAGAGCAAAAATATTTTTTAAATGAGCAGTATTTCATACTGATTTTTAACTCACACAGCAACCATGTATTTCTTAGTGAGCACACATGGGACTAGCATGTTTGAGCAGATGCAGTAGCAGTGAGCTGGCACTCACAGCTCTTTCAGGTCTTTTAATTTATTCTGGTCCTTCATCCCTTCAGCACATAGCCTGCTAGTTGCTAGGCAACCATAAGTGATTTTTACTGTGCATGATTTTTATGTGGTAGCTGTTGTGGTTATTGTTTTCTAATTACAACAGTGGGGACAGGGATTAAAATCAGAGTTACATTAATAATTACTAATTTTCTTCTGTTATATCCACAACACAGCTATTTGAGATTTTGTGAGAAAAGATTGCAATCATTTAAAGTATAGATGCATATACAAAGAGAGTAGAAGATAATATTTCTTTGTGAGAGGAGGTTCTGTAAAAACAATAGAACAGAGGAAGCCATTATTGATCTGAGTAGACAAAATCAGGCACTAGTCTTCTGTCTGTTGCATATTTCATGCCCTTAATGCTTTTTCTTTCACAGCCTTCAATGAGTCTCTGTAATTAATTATGTCAAGCAAAAGCTTGAAGGTTTTCTATGGCATTCTTAGTTTAATAGAATGTGTGAACTAATCACAGTTGGCTAGGTTTATATCCTGAATATAGGATATTGCTGTTTAATAATTTATTACTGTTAAGTTTTTAACATAAAATACAATATAAGGGTGTATGTGTGTATGTAAAAAGATAAAAAAATAAATAGCCATGAGATAAAAAGCTCTATAATCATCAGGAGCTTTTTTAATAAGACAAATATGCTAAACATGTTTTAAAATTTGATCAAAATTAGATTATTAGTGGCTGTTTCCTTTATACTTAAATAATTCTATTTGCTGTTAGACTCTGAAGCATAATTGAAGTAATGCCAGCATCGGTGGTTTAGTAATTTTTCTCAAATAAATATTTCTGTTAAAAGAAAGCTGCTGAAGTTTAAAACACAGCAATGATAACTCAGTTCTTCTGCATATCTAATCGAGATTCATACAGCACAAAATTTTGAAAGCAAATTTCCATGCTTTTTAAAGGATTAGCTTACATCTATATAATGTGTCAGTATATTGCACAGATATATTAAAATCACTTTATTAAGTCAAGCACACAGAAAAATAAGATATAACAGAGAAGGTGGAAACATAATGTGGTTCCCTTAGGAAGGTACATTATGGTATGCATGGTGGTGTGATATTGTACTGCTTGCTTTGCTTTGCTTTGCTTCGCTTTGCTTCGCTTTCCCACAGGAAAGTCCAATGCCTTGCATGTACAATGTGAGCACGGATCAATTAATGAATGTCTGAATTCCCCCTGGGCTTCTTTATAATGCTTATAAGGAGTCTGAATATTTTGCAGATGCAGAATGTTTTTTCACAACATTTAATTCTAATTTTACAAATGAGGAGTAGAAACTTAAATTTTAAGACACCATTTCGACACTAGAGATCTGATTTCTTAGAGTACTTGGAGTTCTATATGCTTGGAACAAATTTCACTGGTCTCAGTTGCAGCTGTGAGTACAGAACACTTCTCTTTATTAACAAAAAAAAATACAGTCCTCAATGTGCAAAGATGTAGAAACACAGGTTAATTTAGTCAGTTGTGTAGTGTGTACTTAATGCTTTGCTTGTATTACTTCCAGTTTCACTTTGAGAAGGCAGTCTGTGATGAAATTCTGTCATGTGGCATGACATAGACACTCACATAGATAGTTAACAAGATTGGTGCCTTTAAATTCATAATATAAACACCTCCCACTTTGGGGAAGTATGAAAGTAATGACTTTCTCTCTGGTGTGAGTTGGTAGCAAAAGAGATGGGAGGTGCAGTGTCTTGAGTTTCACAATTAATTACTGGCAGGAGAGAAATAGTAAGACTTGGGATGACAATTATCTGGTCATTCTATGATTTATTGTTGTGACCTACCGGGTACTTCACAAATAAATAAGAATCTGTTGGGTGAAATTGCTAGTAACTGCCTGGAGTGTGAGGTCCAGGTGATGTGTCAGGGTGTCTGCCCCAGCGGAGATGCACAGCCTTGTCTCGCTGTGTGGCAGCAGCACCCAGAAGTACGTTTGTACATATGCCATAACCTTGCTGTACTCTAGGAGGCAGCCTGGCTGTTGTTGTTCAGCGAGCAAGGGGAACGGCTTCTCCTGCTGCAAGTCAGACAAAAGTTGTCAGGATGAGACACAGGTTTCTGGTTTCTAGGTTTACATTGGATGGAAAAATACTCTGGCTGCCAGCTGGTGCCGTGGATATTGATTGAACAACATTGATTAGCAAGCTGCGATTGGAACGTTTACATTATTGTCCTCTCTTATGCAAGGTATATAAGGAGCAGCAGTGTCCCAGGACTCAACTGGGAATAGTAGGAAGTCATGGATTAGGTGAGCAACTGCTCCTTAGGAAATAAGGAAATTCTGTTTATTACTACTTGTTCATTGTTATATCAGGTTCATAAGAAAAATAGTATCTCCTCAAATTCTGATTATTTCAGGCATTAAGAAATGCTTAAGATATGGTAGACATTTATGACTTCATAAAGGGCAGAGCTGTTCTGTGCTTTTTATAATCCTTATTCTCCATGGTAGAATTGCCTCAGTTAAACATCAGTTCAGTATTAGTTTATTGTGTCTGGTAAGATCCCCCACAACTGGGATGAGTGACTGCAAGAAACTCAGGTGGAGACCATGACTTACCCACGACCTTCTTGCCCACCTCCCGTGAAGGCTGGTATCCCTGAGTTACCATCGAAGGATGCAAATGAGAAAACGGGGCCTTTTTGGAATAACTGTGAAAGTAGGAAGCATGTGAATGTGGACTGGGAGATGCTTGTGAATGCTATGGGCAGTGAATTACAGTTTCTCTCAGCAGAGCTTTTTTCTGGTACTTTCTCTGCAAGAAAAATGACATGCACATGGGGAATAAAAAAAAGGCCTGTAAGTACCATCAATACATTTCATCTCCAGGTGACTTACAGCCACCTATTATGTGGGAAGCCACAAATAAGAAGAGTTAAAAAACCCTCAATTGGAAAGTGTTAAATTACATATTAATAAAAGTTGAACAGTGGGAAATCGGGAAATCTTAAAAATTCTGAACACCTGTAAGTGACAGGCAGTGTTCCTAGAGTATGAAAGGTTTTAGATGACTCATCGCTTTATTTCAGAAGTCTGGAGAAGTACAAATGGCAGTAGTGATTTTCCATACAGTTACAGTGATCTTCACAGAAACCCAGCAGTCATTAATGGAAGTTATTTTTTCTTTGTTGTAACACCTAGTTAGTCTGATAGGACCAGCATCTGGTATAATGGAAATCAGTATGACCAAATGGTTTACTGTGACAAGGAGGTACAAAACAACTATAAAATGACCAAGAAGAAGATAAACTTGAAGTGACAGGAGAGACACTTGCTAAAAATTAAAACCAAAACTGAGAAAAATATAAGACTGTATTTGGCAAACGACTACAGAATTCAGATTCAAATCGTGATCCTGCTTCCATAAAGCCGCCTATACGTATAATCTTATAATGATGGTGATAAATTGGGGAAACAGCACAAAGGATATGTATTAATCTGTAATTTTATTATGTGTACCAAATTAAAAATTCAGAGGAGGGTTCAATTTCTAATTATGTTAAATTTAAAAATATTATTTTTAAAATTTTTTTATTATTATTAAATTGTGTGTGTGTGTGTGTGTGTGTGTGTGTGTGTTTCTTGTGAGAAAGCTGTAGTAATTCTCTGCATTGTGGGTTTGTTTTTCTCAACAGTTCAGGACGGCAGCTGAGTGAAGTCTTCATTCAGCTCCCATCTAGAAAAGAATTACCAGAGTATTATGAATTGATTAGAAAACCAGTGGACTTCAAAAAGATAAAGGTAAGAACCCTTTCTGGAAGTGGGAATTCCTCCATTTGTTTTTGTTATACATAAGGGTCAGCATGAAGTTATCATTAAAATTGCAACAATTTTGGCTTAAATTTTAAACATTGTTACACACTTTGTTAGGAATTTTGTTTGATGTATACTGCAGTATATAACTGTAATTTCAACGTCAAATAAAAATGTAGCAGTGTGACATGAATGATGCTTTCAGAGATGACACCTCAATGTCCTTTTTGCAAAGACCTAATTGTGAATTTGTAAACACATCATAGGTAAAAACACAGTGTTTGCAATGGTTTAATAGCTCAAGGGGAATATAGTAATCCCTAAACAAGCACCACATCTTGAAACAGCCAGGTCAGATCCAAACACAGTTCTTCCGATGGGGTTTAGGCAGCGTGTTGCACATTAGGTGATGTCATAACTCTGGGGTGTACTTTCATTCATGTCATAGCTTACTTTGTTTCCGTGCTAGAGAGAAGAAACTGGAACTTCTTTTACTACAGCAGTTGCTTAATTTTTACTCTCTTGCTCTGGTGTATTTTTATATTAGTAATATATTAAGAATACATTTTAAGACTTTGTTTTAGACAGATACTTGTCATGATGCTTAAGTAAAAATTTTAGAGATAAAGTTTTTAATGTGTTGAAATCAAATATTAATTCAGTGGCCTGTCTGCTGTTTTTCTTCCTGCACCACTCTATTCATTCTTCATTTCCTCAACAAATGCAAAAGGAAAGAATTCGCACCCACAAGTATCGGAGTCTGGGAGACTTGGAGAAAGACGTCATGTTGCTGTGTCACAATGCTCAGACATTCAATTTGGAGGGATCACAGGTCTGAATGAACCACTGTGTGTTAAACATACAGGTTTCCCTATACTAATATTTTCAGTGCTTGTGAATAATTATAGTATGTGTATAAACCCCATGTTCCTTCTTTGAATAGAGAAAAATGTCTGCATTCTGAGAGTCATACAGAATTCACTGGACACAGCTGCAGCATGTGCATATGGATAAAATGGTTTTGACTCTAATTCTGAGATTTTTTTTTCTGACCTGCATGTAGCTTAGAGCTGCGGAAATACTATTTGAATCTGTGGTAAAGGGCAGTGCGTGTAGAGTGATATATCAGCTTGGATTTACCACAGTGGATGATGGAAGGAGCAGACATAACAGTGCAGCTTAGGATGAGATGTTCAGGAAATACTTTGTAATGAACTCTTCAGTTCTGTTAATGGAAGATACAAATTCAAGGGTTGTCCAGAAGTAAGGTCTTGTGTATAAAGCTTTATACTCTCTGAACCCTCTGGTAATTTTTTTTTTCATGTTGAAAGATCAGTGTCCATTTTAAGACATAGTAAAAATAAATCCCAGATGAGTCTCAGAGGTTTAGAAGGCAAAAATCTCTCATCTCAAACAGATGTTACACACACACGAATGTGCTCAGTGCTGTAAATTCAGAACAGGAAACTGACATAAAAGGAGAGACTACAAAATCTGGATGACAGATAAGTTGTCTCACAATACAGTGAAATATAGTCTTGGATGATTATTTTTATAGATAAGGTCCAAATAGTGTAATGCAAACACAATATTACATTGGAACAGAGAACACGAAGACCAGTCCCGTAATGTGCAAGAGGAAGCAAATGATACTAAAAGAAAATTAGGTAAAAGTAAGCTGAAGGCTGATGCTGCCAATACTAATACATCCTTCAAATACCTAAACATTACTAATGTTATGACCCTTAGCTAAACTGAAGAGTTTATATTAAAATTGGAGGATTAAAAATTAAAATGAGCATACAATTAATTATGAAGGACTGTTGAATACAGCTTATAATTTTGTGATTATTTTTGCTATCTAGAGACAGCAAATGTCTTCTGTAATACATAAGGTGTGGTATTTTTACTGTCCTCAGTTATATGGAAACAACCTATAAATAAATCAGCTGAAAATATTTTAATAAGAAAACTAAGGATGATAGGAAGCATGGGACAAAATTTTGTTACATGTCCAAACGCATGTAGATAAAAGCAAAGGTAAATTTCCTGGTTAGTAGTCACATAGCAGTAAAACAGCTATAAATATGCAGAGGTGGTAGAATTGACAGGAATAATCCTGAGTGATTAGAAATGTTCAGTAGATATTGACTGCTCTGTTTGGAAATTACACAACCTCTATCAGGGTGTCGCAGTATTATTTTCCATTCCAGTGTACAAATATGTGTTGAGTTTGCGTGGCAAGGTTTTGGTAGCAGGGGGCTACAGGGGTTGCCTCTGTGAGAAACTGCTAGAAGCTTCCCCTTTGCCTGATAGAGCCAATGCCAGCTGGCTCCAAGATGAACCCACCACTGACCTTAACCAATCAGCAATGGTGGTAGTGTCTGTGAGATAACATATTTAAGAAGGGGAAAAAAAACAACTACCCAAACCCTGGGCAACAGCAATTGCATCTGGAGAGAGGAGTGAGAATATGTAAAACCTGCACCTGGAGCAGGCTCCTGGCAGAATCTGTGCTCCCATGGGGAGAGAAGCCCACACTAGAGCAGGTTTGCTTGGCAGGACTTCTGACGCCATGGGGGACCCACACTGGAGCAGTCTGTTCCTGAAGGACTGCACCTCACATAAGGGACCCACTCTGGAGCAGTTTGTGAAGAAGTGCAGCTCATGGGAAGGACCCACATTGAAGAAGTCCATGGAGGACTATCTCCCATGGGAGAGACCCCATGCTGGTGCGTGGGAGGAGTGTGAAGGATCCTCCCCCTGAGAAGGAAGGAGTGGCAGAGGCAACGTGTTATGATCTGACCAGAGCCCCTATTCCTTGTCCTGCTGCCTCACTAGAAGGGGGAGGTAGAGAAATTGAGAGCAAAGTTGAGCCCAGGAAGAAGGGAGGGATGAGTGGAACATGTTTTTAAGATTTAGTTTTTATTTCTCATTATCCTACTCTGGTTTGGTTGGAAATAAATTAATTTTCCCCAAGTCTGGTTTGCCTGTGACGGTAATTGGCAAGTGATCTCTCTCCGTCCTTATCTCGATCCATGAGGACGGGGAGTGATAAAGAGCTTTGGTGGGCACCTGACACCCAGGCAGGGTCAACCTACCACACAACATTAATTACCAGAGCTAGTACTACACTTTATAGCATGAAGGCCAAATAACTCTTACCTACGATTTTTTTTTTTTTAGGTTTCTTTCTGATAAGTTCTCATACCATTCATTTTGATTTCCAATGAATTGCAGGACACTTCACCAGTCCTGTAGCTTTTAAGGCTACCTCATGTTCTTTGTAGTACTTCGGGTCTACCTTTGGTCTGACATACCAGTTTGCTTCAGTAAACTAGATTATTTGCATGTACACCCAAAACCAGAAAGCTACTTCAGACTGTTGCTGAAATACACAGTAACTGCAAATGAAATTCTATGTACCTGTTCTGTTACATAGTGCATGGTTCTTTTCCTTGGAGCAAGGCAGTTCCATTTGAGCTAGAACCTCATGAGGGACTTTTCAGGAGAGATAGACTTGGTGTTTTGAGACTATCCTCAATGCAACCTCAGTGATTTGAAAAGTTTTTCACATTGTAATGGTCAAGTAAAACACAGGCATGTAAGGAGTTAAAAATAGTGTCTCTGTTGAAACAGATCATTTGTCATGAATGTTATCGTTTCTCATGAAGTTATGTTGTCGTTGATTCTCCCTTTTCAAAGGAAGTTCCACTGTCTCTACTGCTTGTTTTTTGAAACCTGTTGGAAATGGATTTTGATCAAAATAAGAAAATGTTTATTTGTGCAGCTTTTTGTGAAGCAGCCTCAGTTTTTTTCTGAATCAAAATAGATACTGACTATTACAAATAATTCCACAGTAATAAGGTTAATTTTTTTTTAAAACCCTTTATTTCTCTTGGAAATTTTATTTAGTAGTCTGGGTCACAGTGATACCTTACATATGTGGTGACTTGCATTAAAAAAATACAATGTTGTGTGCTTCCATAATTCTTTCTGTCTTAGAGAGGTGTTTGGTCTGAGTAAGGACAGCAAGATTAGTTGAAAGAACCATTCCTAAGAACAGCGCTAGGCATATGCATAAGAAAAATAAATGGTCCTCAAGAGAAACTCAGTGGCTTCTATCAGTAACTGACTTGAAAAGGAATAGGTATAAGAAAAAGTCAGTAATCATTTGACTTTGCGGAAGGAAGCTGTGAGGTCTCAAAGTGCACTAATGTCACAAGACAGTAGGAGAAAAGCTTCTTCAAAACATTTGCAATCATTATATATGTGTCAAGAAATTTTACTATTGTCAAAAGCAGTCAAACATCTCATAACAAAAAGCACAGTGATGCATCAGCTTTAACATACAGGTTTTATAGTGGCAGCCAAAACCCCCTTCCATTATCTTTTGCACAAATACCCAAAATACCTTTTTACAGGAAAGCCAAAGGAGTAGTGTGACAGCCAAGGTTGTTCAAGGGATGATGATAATAAAGCCAAATACAGTCTCTGTACCCTTCTATTAACTATTCTTAATTGTCTAGTGCGGAATTGCCCAGTGCTCGGCTTTTGAGATTTTACCAAAAAAAAGGCACAAGCTCATTTGTTAAGGTGATTATGAAGTCCCAGATACTCAGCATGACAAGATTTTTATTGTGTTAATCTGAGAAATGTGTTACAAGCCAAATGGAGTCCTCTCATCTTTGAAAGTCCCCCTCATGCTTGAGGTTAAAGAGCAAATCTGATGTACCCAAGATACTTGGCAAACTACAGAATGAGAACAGGTGCTAAGTGTAGAGTGAGCACTGATTTTAGGAGTTTTATTCCAGTCTTTTCAGATCTGAGAGGAAGGAAGCTTCTTGGGATAAGTTATTTTCCTTGTAGCCACTTTGAATTTAAGAAAAAAATAAGGATAATTAACGTGACAGCCAATTATCATTATCAACTGTATTGTTAGACTATAACCCATTTTTTTAATTGAGGTGCTTACTGCTGAAGTCTTGCTTTGGCAGTTTTTCAAGGCTATTATGATCTAATGAAAATATGCAATAGTTCCTGTGGTAATAAAAATAATAAGAAAAACACTCTAACTGGACATTTTAGATGTAATACATTTTAAGAGTTGATTTGTAGCTCACTATCGAAAAAAACCTTCATTTAGAGCATAAAAAATTAATGTTAACATTTCTTGTAAAATTCATGCAGCAAGCATTGTTACTCAGTATTTGAAAAGGCCACATATTCTGTGGGTTTGCACCAGAAATTCAGGTCCATGCTGTGAATTATTGATACTGTTTGATTTTGCAGTTCTGATGTAGGTTTGTATTCACACTGTAGATCTATGAGGATTCCATTGTTCTTCAGTCTGTGTTCAAAAGTGCACGACAGAAGATTGCCAAAGAAGAAGAAAGTGAGGATGAAAGCAATGATGATGAAGATGATGATGAAGAAGAGGAATCAGAATCAGAATGTGAGTTCTCTACTAAATTCCACCTCCATCTGGGGCTGGAAGGAGATGTTTTCGGATTTCTGCATGGAAACTGATCATAATGTTCTGTTTTCCTTTGGTGAACGTAACTTCTTTCTGAGTTTGCTGCTTTGGGTGTTAACATTCAGCTTAAATCTTTTGAGTGTGTGTTCTGGGTATAGCTTTTAGAGTACAGTAAACTATTTTTAAGCCAGGAGGATATCAGAAGTGCTATGTGGGAGCAGATATGATTGGCCAGGAGTGATTATAAAATCTTCTGGTTCTGTTCATGTTATTTGTAACTAGAAGTGCCTGGAAAGGCTAGAGACAGTCTTTATCTATGGATGGTCAACCTTCAATCATGGTTGACATACAAAAATCATCACTTAGTTAAGAACCAGAAGTTGCTGCAGATATTCTTCTGTGTGACAAGAACTAAGTGAAACCCCAGTTGTTCCAAAAGCAGGAGGTGACACTCGTTAAGTCTCTGTAGACTTGGAAACTTGATACTGTAGTCATTCCACTTTCTACCACCCAATACATCTATCTATACTCTCCATCTGCCCATCTGACTGGTACCTAAACTGTAGTACTTGTCCCTGAGCTGCTTTTCCAAGTACGTCAAACGGCTGTGCAAAGTGTGCAATTGCAGCAGTTTATTTGGAAATAAGTGGGTATTCTGGAATCAGGAATTTAACATGATCTACAGAAAGGTGTCAACTCAGAATTTACCAGCCACGTCCACATAGTATTTCTGTAGTTTAAAAAAAAAAATAATTCTTGTTTGTACAAAGGATAAACATTTCTATGTGCAAGGAAGAAAATATTTTTAGGTGTGTATCTTCTCACAGAACCATATACTACCTGTAGATACCATGCATTCTGAGAATGAAAAGAAGTGGTCAACTCAAAGTTACTCACTCAAAGTGGTTCACGTGGTCAACTTTGTTATTCTTTATAGTTTAATACCAATTACTATTAAAACTATCAAGAAGTAGAAAAATAAAAGCAAATACTTCTGCTTCATTGTTCTACAGTCCAGATAAAGAGCAGAGGGAAATACCTGAATTTCTGTGAACAGAGGCAGCATTTAAAAGTTGATAAGTGAAGGTTACATTCATATATGCTGTTAAACTTTTTTGCAGCAAAATCAGTGAAAGTCAAGATCAAGCTAAATAAGAAGGATGAAAAAAGTCGGGAGAAAGGAAAAGGCAAGAAGAGACAGAGCCGAGCAAAAGCCAAGCCTGTCGTGAGTGATGATGATAGTGACGAGGATCAAGATGAAAATGTAAGTTCTGTTCACTGAGACTGTGGAGGTGGTTGCAGTGATTGCATCTCTACCCTGTCCTACTTGCTGTCAGAATTCTCAACTATTCATGCTTAAGCACATTTTTAATCTGTACTGATCATCTTGAGAGAATTGGGTGGGGGTGTTAACTGTATCTGGGTATGCTTACGAGATCTGGTCCAAGTGCTGAAAAAAAAGAAGTCTAAGAAGGTTTGGAGGTTTTCTTTTATTGGAGCTGTTGTTACTTTCATTGAAACTTTAAAAATTATGGTCTCTTTGCTTGTGTCCACAGACAAAAAACTTATAGATTGATTTTTTTTTTTAATTTTTTTTTGCGGTGAATGCTTCTGCTATTGCAACAAATGAAAACAGACTTCTTCACAGTTGGTTTATTTTTTTGATGTCTGGGTAGAAGGAGAGATCTGCTGTTTCCTGACTCTATCTCTTTCCTTCTCTAGAGAAGTCTACAGCAATTAAATGAAATGTCATTAAAGAGAAGTATTTAGATTACATAGTACCTTTCTTAGGGCTACCTAGATTTGTCAGTTTAATTGACATTTTTCTTCATTTTTCTCTCTCTTTTTTTTTTCTTCCTCCTTTAACAAATTCCCCAGAATAGCTGGCAAAGAATTTCTGACTTGTCTTGTGTCTCTTACCTCTAGGACCAGTCGGAAGCAAGCGGAAGTGATGATGAGTGATCCATAGGGTTTATTTTCTTGGCAGAACTGACCCCTTCCCCTTCTCTTCTCCCTTCTCCTATTTTACACCCAGTGAATTCATTTTGTCAAATAGACATTGGGTTGTTTCTGTACTTTCATTCTATATAAGTTAGCTTTAGGATAGTGCCAGACAAACATATGATATCATGGTGTAAAAAAAGGAAAAAAGAATGTAACATATTGTGACCAAATGGGCCTCAAAAGATTGTAAAACAAAACAACAAAAAAGGCTTTTGATGGAAAATGTGGGTTGATAGTATATTTCTATGAGCTGGTTCTAACTTGTTAATGATTTGATTGTGCCTGGCTTTGTCATTTAAAATGATGTTCTTTAGTGGCATCAGAAAAGGGGGATAAAAAAAGGGGGATAAAAAGTCTTTTGTAGCATTGATAACCAGGAGAAGCCATTAAAAGCCACTGGTTATTTTATTTTTCGTCAGGCAGTTTGGAAAGTTTTTATTTGTTCTGTATTGGTTTTTTACACTGTGGTACATATATGCAACTTTGTTTAATAGCTTATAAATGTACAGTAGTTAGCCTTCATCCACCTTGTCCCATATACGTTTATCCACTTTACGCTTGATGATCTGCAGAAAAACGCTTTTTGAATTGTATCAAATTTATGTCTACTGTAAACTTTGCTTAACTTTTTCTTCCTTGGTTAAAAAAGTTGGGTTAAAAAATGCTTACTGAATATCGCAATCTATATACGGTAATGGATGGCTTCTTTCATCAGACTGATCTTCTATGTTACCAATGTGGATTATCACCTTTTCCCTAAAGTGTACTTAATCTTTGCTTTCTTTGCACAATGTCTTTGGTTGCAAGTCATAAGCCTGAGGCAAATAAAATTCCAGTAATTTTGAAGAATGTGGTGTTGGTGCTTTTTTTAAATAAAGAGATAACTTAGCTCAATACATGCAGCCTTGTATTATGAGTTCCACAAAAATATTTTCATAGTAGGGGTGAGATGGCAGGAGTGTCTCCTGCAGAGAGGTCCACTGTGGTCTGTCCTGAATGTAAAATAAGAACTCATTCAAATACCATGAAAGAATCTTCAGAGATAGAAAGAAGATCTGTAATACATGTTAAAATAGGAATAATAACATTGAAGTAATAAAATAATACCTTGAAGTAAAAGTGTATTTCATTACGTAGTTACAATTGAAGTGATTAAGCAGTAAAATAAACATTTAATTTTCTTTCTGGAAATGTATGTCCATAGGTCTCAGTGAGTATGAATACTGTTAGTTATGCTGGGAGTCAGCCCACCTGTAAGTTGGTTTATTTTAAGTATTATCTCAAGATACGGGGCTTGCAATGTACTAAGATGTGGTAGTATAAACATTTGAATTACATATCTACGCTTAATGTTGCTACTCTGGAAAATCAAAACTTCTTAGATTTGAACATATATTGACTAGAAAGTGTGCAAGCGTAGGAGTTGATTTGTAAACAGAACATTTCTTTGCTATCTGAACTGTGTGTTTCTCAGTATGTGTCTACATCACACCTCTTTATACTGCCTTGCAGTATGTTACCTGCGTCAGATTTTTCTAGTTGTAAGTTTGGTGCCCATTTGTGTGTATTAGCCCTGTGCTAAGTCAGCTTTGCTTAGTTTTAGCAATTTCAAACATTTCATTTCTAGTGTGTGCCCCACACAACCCTGAAATAAAGACCCTGTAAAGAGGGAAATGCACCATTGATCTCAGAGGGACACATGGATGAGACCAGTGTCTGAAGCAGCTTTGCAGAAAACAACCTGGTGGTCCTGGTGGCCCCCACGTTGAACATGAGCCAGCAATGCACCCTCGAAGGGAGGATGCAAAGACAACAGAGCCAGGCTCTTCTCCGTGGTGCCCAGTGACAGGTTCAGAGGCAATGGGTGCAGACTGGATCACAGAAGGTGCCCTCTGAACATCAGGAAACACTTTTTTACTGTGATGGTGACTGAGCCCTGGCACAGGTTGTCCAGAAATGTGATGGGGTCTCCATCCTTGGAGATACTCAAAAACTGTCTGGACATGGTCCTAAGTAGCTGGCTCTGGGTGGCCTTGCTTGAGCAAGGTGTTGGAACAGAAGACCTCCAGAGGTCCCTGCCAATCTAAGCCATTCTGTGATTCTGTGATACGGGATAGCTTGGGTTGCAGAAGCCATGCTGTCTTCAGTGACAGTTTCATGAGACCATATATAAATGTTATTTTTTGACTGCAAAATGAACTAAGTCTACCAACCCGTTAGGCATGACAGGAAACATCTGGCAATAGGCTTCAGTCACTGCTGGCCTAGACTGGGTTTAAACTGGCAGCTTAAATGTAAAAGGTGCAGCATCACATTACCTCTCCCCAGAGTGCCTGATGACTTTGCAGTGACCCAGTTTGATTTATTTTTCAAGAACTTGTTATTTACAGCTGAGTGTTCAGCTGGAGAATAAAGTGAACTAAGTTGACCAAACATTTCTGTTAAAAATGAAAGTAACATTTTAGTCAATAACTATAAGATACATGAGGATATTGATCACCATGAAGTAATACATCTTATTTCTTAGCTGCCATTTTTGTTATATCAAGCTTAATTTCAGCATATTTTCAATTTCCCCTCTGAGTTTCAAGAAAAAATACAGTTATTTTTATCATTAGATTAAAATTGATTTGTGGTTGTTAAGTCATGCCTATACCTCTGCTGCAGTTGGTCCTGTTATTTTGCTTAGAATGTAAATCCATTTGTACCCAGAGTAATTTCTTAATTGTTATCTTATCTTACTCTTTCTCTGTATGAATTTACTGCATTTTTCAAGTTAAGATTTTTTTTTTTCTGGTAACCTCAGCACATCAGTATATGAAGAAAGAGGTTTTTGGGTAATTTGTTGTCATACATAACCTTCCAAATTTTTTACAAGAAGAGAGGAGGAAATCTTTTAAGTTATGTACAAATCCATGTTAAAGATGCAAACACACTTTCACAGGATTCCCTTTCTAGTACAAATTGACATGCAGAGCACTTGGAATACCTTTTGGACAACACACAAATAAAAGTACAATGCTACAATCCATATTGAGGGAAATTAACTCTCTTCCTACCTTAATTCCAGAAAATTGTCTGGTAAAATTGGAAACAGTATAGCTTGGGCCCAGAGGAACATGAGCAAGGTGAAGTAAATAGCAGGAGGTTTTCTTGTTGCATTTGCTTCTCCTGGGAGGTAGGCAGCAGTGTAAGTGGGTCAGATCAATAGCATTTAACAGCTTTTATACACTTCAGGTGCCATTAATATTCTTTGTTTTCCCCTCACACACCTTCTGAAAGAAACAAAGTGCAAAACCTCATTAATATAAATCAATTCCTGCTTAAATGTGTCTGATCCTCAATGCAACGCATTGCAGTGGCTGTTTCCAGACTCATATATTTTTGTTTTACTTGTCATATATACTGCTTTTAGAATAGAGATATCAGAGTGTCCCCGCCATCACCTCTCTTGCCCTGGAGGTCTTCTCTTCACTCAGCTCATGACTGAAGCTGGTGATTCAGTGATGATTGAGGCCGAGAGACACGGCAAGGTTCTCGTGGCAGATACTGCCACAGCTTCTGTGTGCTGTGAGACAAAGGCGTAACTGATGCACAAAGCAGTGTGCAATTGTTAAGCTGCTGGTACATGCTCAGTCCTGTCAACCACTCAAGGAGGGCATTAAAAGCTCTATTAACAACACACAGCCTACTGTTCCTTTTTCATTAAAACACTTGAACAATAGGATTTACTGAACGCATTATCTAGTCTAGAAATCAGATTACAACATGTTAAAAACAAATTGAGAAGTTTTTATAAAGGGATTTTTAGACTGGTCTCTTACTTTCTCCTTTGCTCATCCTCTGAAAAACCTCTGAAATATTTTTCAGTTCCTGGAAAAAAATTTTTTTTGAATATAGACTTGAACTGTAAGCTGAAACATGACTGTAAATCAAGTTCTGTACGTTCACAAAGTGTAGGGCTAGCAAAGTAGCTTGTGTGTGGACTACAAGGAACATGGGGAAGTAGGTTCAGAGCAAGCAGAGAGGTGAATCATACATGATTCTGACTCCTTGCAGTAGAATTGTAGTTCATTTTAGGAGTCCCTCATCTCTAATCTTGCTGTGCTGAACAAGGGATAGAAGGTAGATGAGGAAGAAAATAAGCAGAGGATATGAAACAAGTTACCAGTCAGAATGCACCTAGTTCTGTTTTACTGAAACTGGGCACCCCATTCAGCAGGGACAGAACTTTGTACATTGGGACTGTGCAGTCATGTATTTCAGGTGTTTAAATACCAAGGGGCATGTTTATGCTTGGGATAACTTTCCTAATTGAAATGAAAACCAGAAATGGCATGAAACATTATCCACATGAGCCTGCTTCTTACTCTCTGTGAGGACAGTTATAAAGTTAGAAAGTCAGATATTACCTAACAGTTACTTAAAAGTGATGTAAATCAAAAGTTAACTGGAGGTTGCAGCACCTCTTCCCTATTTCCCCTTAACAACCAAGAGCTCATCCTCTCCTCGAATGAGAGAAGGTTGGTGCAGGTGTATCTCTACTTCCCTTTCATGTGGAGGTAACACTTGATTTTCAGACACTAGCCCTTGTCTTTCCCTTTGCTTTACTTGTGAGGGTTGTGAATGTCACAATATTTGCCATGCTTATGACTCTACATTCACAGAGAGATGGATGTGCTGAAGAACATGATGAACTCTCTGACACTGTTACAAGGTAAAATATTTTTATTCCTCTGCCTCTATTATAAGGAGGTTGCATTTCAATCTGTATGGTATTTTACTTCTCCCTTTTCATGACCACAGCAAGGCATAAGAAAAAATTCTTCAGTTAGATGGTGAGACCTTGTGTTTTCTTCCTATGTATGTCAAGTTGCTGTCAAAAGCTGAATCACAACAAATAACTGCAATGTGAAGTTCCTGCATTTTCAAAGTGACCAGAAAACTTGTACTGGAAATTATACCTGGGACAAGGACTATTTACAAAACAACTTCCAGCTTAGGCAGCTGCTGCCTGAGTTTGTGCTTGGTATTCAGTGTCATGTTTTCTTGCACGATCCATTGCCATGGTGTCGTATACTGATGCTTCATTTCATTTACCATTTTGATGGAAATAACTGTTCTTAATTGCATCATCTGCCACCTGTGAATACGGCAGTTACGTAGGCTGTTCTCACACCAGGAGATGGATATAAAAATAAAGAGAGAACACCAATATTAAGACATTAATTAGCTGCAAATGAAAGAGATCTATATGCCAAACATAATTTTCTCTGAAACAGACATAGTTTCTGGTGGAGGTGAATTTATACCCACTTATGTTATTTGTGCTCTTGTTTATATCCCATTTTACTGTAGTAGTTTCTGTTAGGTACATTCTCCCTTTGGGCTTCCAGCATAGTTGCTTTTCCAGCTGTCACCTTCCATTGGAATAAATTTTATATGTGCTTGGGTGCTTTATAGGCTTGAAGCAGTTACTGCTTCATTGTGCACCATTACTTCCCATCATCTTTGTCCTTTCAACATGAAAGGAGAGACAGAAGAGGGAGGAAAAGGCATTATCCGATCATTCGCTTAAGGCTTCTCATTTTCAGAGACCAGGACACATTGTTGCTATTAGTGCTGTTGTCTGCTGGCACGAACCCAGGGACACTCCAGCGCTTCTGCAGTTTTTTAAGTTTCTTTTAGCAGTTCTTAAGGTCAAGGAACTAAGTGAAGCCGAGCATGTCTGACATTCTGCAGATGCACAGAGGGCGGTAAGTATTCCATGTCACTGTACTTAAACGCTTAGAAGCAGTAATCAAAATAGGTATTTGAAACTTCACAATTACTTTAAACTACATAGG